AGGGGGAAAAAGAAAGAAAAATTATGAATGAATAAGCAAGCTGTCCTTTATTAATATTGCCAATTTTGAGCCATGTTAGCAGTGTGGCTCTAGGGCAATGTTGGTCTTGTGGCCCACCACTTTGGTCCAGACTGAAATATTTCAACAACTACTGGATGGATTGCACAAACATTCGTGGTGTCCAGAGGATGACTCAGAAAAATTTCCCTGATCCCCTGACTTTTCAACTAGCATCATTAGGTCAAAAGTTGTCTATTACTTTTCTTTATGACCTAATACCTGCAAAACTAATGACACATCAGCTGTGTTGTATTTTGTGTTATTAAATGTCAGCATGCTAATACACTAAAGTAAGATGGTGAACATTACACCTTCTGATTCTGAACATCAGCATGTTAGCTTAGTCATTGTGAGCATGTTAGCATTTAGCTCAACATTGCTGTTATCTTGATAAAAAAAGTTGCTTTTGTGTGTCCACTTGATCCTATGGGAAATCTACAGTGTGCGTAAACGTTATACAGCAATATTCATGCCTGAAATAACAAGTCAAAATGTTAAACCAAAAACAACACATTCATTAATTCTAGCTCTGTGTATTATCGTGCTTGTGCCTGAATGATTCTTTTCAAAGCGTGGCCTTTATTGCCATAACCGAGCTAAGCAGCCAAGTCCCTTGCATAAGATCTGAGCACCTGTTAATCAGAACATCACCTTCTGGCACTGACTCCTGCTCACAAAATGAAAAACGCCTGACACTGCCTGGATGGGATTAGTGAGAGGACAAAGCACGGTTAAGTCATCTCTGGACAGTTTTACACATGTCACACACCCATTCATTCATGCTGTTATTGTCAATGAGTAATTCAACAGATGGAAATCATGATGTATTAGTATTGCATAAGAAGCACAGGTACAAACATGATAACTTTAGGCTGACACTCAGGTAATATTGTGACTTCACGAGTAATACGTTGTGATGTGCGTCAAGTTTCCGACAAAAAAATAATATATTTCCAGAGACATTTCTTCTCAAAAAGTCACTGATTCATTTGACTAAAGAGTTTCAGAGAAATACATTATTTCACCTGTATTTCATCTGCTAAAAACAAACTGTAATACTCTGACAGGGTTATACGAGGTCTCATGCCACAGTAAGTAGCTAATTAGCTTTGCGTTTAGGCAGTTTTGTGTTCACACCTTCTCCAAGCTAACACAAACAACACAACGCGGTCATGGTGAAAATATGTGCGCACACAGCGCACACAAGGCCCAAAGGAAATTTCCAAACAACATCTTTTTTTTACGCTGTGCTTTCATTTGGCACTGCTGCCTTCTAAAGTCTGCTTACACCCCATCTTTATTTAGATGTGGACTGCGTTAGCCAGTGATGGTATTTTGACAGTTAACACTTAATGATGAAGAAAAATGGGATTAATTCTGCTTTTATTTTATCTACTGTTAGTCAATCAATGGAACAATCAAAATGAGCACTTTTCTTCTTGTTTTTCTCACATTTAAATAGTTTATTTCGTATATATTTCAGTGATAGCTTCATATTAAAAACTCATTATGTTAATCAAGTAATTTTAGTATAATTTTAGTATAATTTAGGCTTTTAGTTGATCTCATTCAAATTTTCATAGGACAAGTACTATAAGAAAGGAATTGATAATTGGATAATAGAAGAAAGGTGTTTTGAGCAGTGTAACTACAGTTGAACAAATTATTTCAGTCCATGAACACAAATCAGCCCAGTTTTGGCCAGCTTACCATTCCAGTGTGTCCAATTTAGTCTGCTTTGCTCCAAGTTTCCAATAACCAATAACAGTTAAAAAAAACCAGGAACAGAGATGCAACACTCTTCACAAAACTAATTTATTCGACTCCCACTACGACAGTAAGGGGCCGATTTGGAGACACGTCAGATCCAATACAAAGCTATTCTCCCGTCCCCTCCGTGAACCTTTTTATGAACTATGTGATATATTTCTGATCTATCTTGGAGATTTTGCAGATATGTGATACTTGCACATGTAGGAATCCTCAGCGGGACCGTGTTACATGTCTGTGACGCTTGGATTTGTTGCTCAATCTCAGCTCAAATCTGTAACCTGCAGCTTTTTATGTATGTGTGTGTAAGTATGAGCATCTGTGTGATTTTTGCATCATGGGTTCGTAAACATCAACAGGCTGCAGTTGTGCACGAGTGACTGATAGCTGGGTTGGTTATGTATGTAATGAAGTAACTCACTAGAAAGGTTATATACTGTTCTAGTGACACTCAGCGTACGGTTACAAACACACAAACTTGTCTGTTCCCTTTAAATGTTGTCCAGGAAAGATATTAATGTACATTGCCTAAATATGTACAAACAAACACACTTGCACACATATTTTGAGCTGTTCTGTCTATCGCCTGTAGCCCAGATCTCTGAGTAAGTCAGTGTGGAGTCTGTCTTAGACTGCAGGGAATTACCTCAGCTCTGAATCATGTGGCGCCTTGCCTAGAGTGTGCACAAAGCAATCACGCAGCCATCTTTCTTACTCATAAACTGTCAGAGGGCCTCACACAAAGGCTGGACACACACTGCAGGAGTCTTGAACACATTGTTTCTGAGGTCCAATTAGTCCGCCTAAGGCAAATTCTGTTGGAGCGGTGAGATGTTTGTTTTATTGGTAGAGGATTGCTCTTCTTTTAAGGTGCTTTTGAATTATTTAGGTATATGTCAGTGGTGGAAGAAGTATCCAGATCTTCAGCAATATCACAGAATACAAACCTGCATTCATAATTCTCCAGAAAGTATCATCAGCAAAATAAAGTATTTAAAGTGGTACGACTTGCAGGTATACAAGCAGAATGGCCCCTGTCATTGATATCTTGTTAATTAAAATGTTGTTTCTGGACTATTAATACTCATGCATCGACATATAACCAGCATTTGAATTTTTCAGCAGGTAACGTTGGACTTGATTTTAACTACACTGAACACATATTGTTGGGAATATTAATCAATAATAATTCATTTTCTTTGTTTATTTTGTATTTTATTGCAGGCCTATGTTTTGTGCGTAAAATCTCTGCTTAAAAGCTGTCAATAAATCAAGTGAAGTAACAGTAAGTACAGTAATTCTGACAAGAAGTGGAATAGAACTATAAAGTAGCATAAAATAGAAATACTTAAGTACAAGTATCTAAAATGTCTAAATAAGCAGTTAAGTAGTTGTAATGTGATGAGTACCATTTATTATAATGTAGTCGTCAAATGGAAAAGTACATGAGAAACCAATTAGTTAATCTGAATGTAAATTGAAAACATAACTAGCACCACTTTTTAAAATTAATCTGTTTATCAACTGGTTGTTTTTATAAACATTATAATTTCACTGATTTATACATTGATTTTATTTCATTTTCAAATAATTCCCATTTTCATCCAAGGTAATTGTTCGTTAATTACTCTGTGATCTGAGTGGATGTCCTACTACTAAAGCTTGAGCGCAAATAAAAGCTCAGAACATTTCTGAGCTACCAGAAAGCCTTAGATGTTAAACTTTATCATTGATTATCAGAAGTACACTTAAAATTGACTTTATTATTTTGTGTCGCTTGCCACATACAAATGAAAAAATAAAAGACAGCGAGTACACTGTTGTGAAAGCCTTTAGCCTGTACAACAACTTTTAGTTAGTTGGAAACCGTTTGATGTAGGACGACCTGGTTAGATGATGATGTAATGCCTTTAGGCAGATTATTCTCTCTCACATCAAACACTCAGAAATGAGTCTCAGCATGTTTTCATTTCAGTTCTGGTTTCTTTTGTATATTTACTTTAGCTGAGCACAATGCTGAAAAGCTAATAAATTACTTGGCAAGGGAGCCTACAGTTCTTTTGCCTTTGAGACTGCAGCTTATATCATTTATCTATTTATCATAGTCAGCGAGTCACTGAATGACCCATTCATAAACCAGATGTCACAAAGACAAACTGCATACTCCAGACAGACCTTGGTTGGTAGCCACGATGCTTTTTATTCATAGCTCACAAAGTAATTTACTCGGATGTTACCCCTTTTCCCCATCACTCTCTGGGCCCAAACACATCAGACCACCTATCATCAACTGTAAAACAGACAAAGTAGGTACACAAGAAGACCACAGCGCTCCAGTACCTAAATCCTCTGGCAGACTGAGTTTGGCTGCTTTTTTCTGGACATAAATTTCACATTATGGGAAAATTCCTCAGCCGTGAATGACGAGTGGCAGCTTTGGGTAATTTGTTGCGACAAGACTTAAGTCTCCAAAAAAGTTTGGCACTGTCAAAGAATTTGTGGCATAATCATGCTTTGTGGCTGGTAGTATGACGCGGTGATGATGACTCTATTCCGCTGAGTGACTAATGTCTAACGTGTCAGGCAATGACGACATGCTGTTGGCTGTACAGATGATAAATGTGGAACTGGACGTAGTACTGATATGTAGGTCTACAGGTCTAGTTTATGGCCTACTTACAGTATGATGACAGAACAGGTTAAATCTGCACAATGTGACAAGATCCCACTGCACAGTCTGACATGCATTAAACAGACATGCACAGTCTCCAAGGACTCCAAAGTCCAGACCTAAACATTTCTACTACTACCTGTCATGTACTTTGCATTCTTGTGCTCACTGTTGTTTGGTGGAGTTAGAATGTGTAGTGTTTGTTTAAGGGCAGTTTGGGACATGCATGCAGGTTGAGTGAAAGTGGCATCCATGCCCACTAATGCCTAAATGCTCTGGCCAGAAAATGTAAATCAAAACATTTCATCAGTCACAAAGCAACTCTTGGAAAACAAAAAAGTCTAAAAATCACAGACTGACTGCACATGACTGTTTAAGAACAGCGGAGAGTGTGTTGTTTGTTAAAGTCAATGGTCGCTGATTCAAACCCAAATTATGTATTTTGTTTGTTGGATATGAAAAAACACTCTCATTATTCCATCTTCCATTCACTCAACAGGTAGAGGAACATGCGATCCCGCAGCAACAGTCTGGAGGACGTAACCAAGGCCAAGCCGGTGCAGCAGCAGGAAAACACTCGCAAGCGATCTACAGAGCGAGAAGAGCCCTCAGGCAGGGCTGAGCGCCGCAGTCGACACCGGGAGCCGCCGGACGACACTGGCACCATTCAGCGCAATGACAAAAGGGCTAAGAACAGCACCTGTGCTGGTGGGAGTGGGAGTGGCAGCACCAGCGGTGCTGCAAAGGCGGGTCAGAGGGAGAAGGGCAGGGACCTTTCCCGAGATGACCTCGTCTTTCTACTAAGCTTGCTCGAGGGAGAGTTGCAGGTAATCCATACTATAGAGATGACTGAGTAAACTTGGATCCATCCCTGGGAACAATTAGCCATTACAGCAGCAGACAGGCCTGCACACATGGCACTGGCCCCAGTCGGGCATATAGTCAGACACAATGGCTCAGTGGGCAGTGAGTGCATAAGATGGATTAAAAGCCTGTGTTAATGGACAGCCAACAGCTGAGGCTACTTCCTCTCATTTCAGCTCTGGATCCAGGAATCCCCTGGCACTGTTGTATGTGACAGGAACAAGGCAACGTTTGTCTTATTGTGAGGTTAAAGGAGCTAGATACAAGGAAACAATGTAAACAAAAGCAAACAGAGCAGGGAGAGAAGTATCTATTCCATAGCACTGCACTTATGATACACCACCCTACAAAAGAATAATGTATAAAGAATGTCATCCTGACGCTTCAAGAAATAGTTTTCACTGCAGAGAAAAGAGTGGTTGTGGTGTATTCCTGACACGTTAATCCATACAAGACATAGTAATCCTGCATGTGGCGATGTTTAGGCTTGGTTACTTTCTTTTTTCAGTAGATTTGGTCAATTTTGCATTCATATTACTACCTCAAGAGGTGGCAAAAGCTGCACATTTCAACCCATTGGATACTTTTAGCTATCAATTCAGACTTTTCTGTGAGCTTGCTCACGACTCTTCACATTTATAGGCTATTGTGACAAGTAACTTTACTCAGTACAGGCACACACAAATTTATAATCCTTTTTGTGTGTTTCCATGTACCACTTAGTAACTTCAGAAGTCCCTCCTTGGTTACACATACCCCCGGTTGAGAACCACTGCTGTGAAGTAATCAACCTGCAAACACAGACAATCAAGCTTTTCTTAGGCAAATTTTGATAAAGGGTAAATAAGTCTGATGGAGGGAATTATTTGCTCAGTTCCACACCATCTAGATCTATTGTTCAGGAACTAACTTCACAATTCATTGGTACATTTCTGACCTTAAAACATAAGGACTTAGATACAAAAGGCTGACAGAGCAAGGATGGATACAAGGCCAACACAATGTTATTAATATTTGAGGTTATTTTACTGATATTATGTTTACCGCAGACTCCTCTCTTACAGTCTTGCTGCTGCATATTGGAACTCTGCTGTACGTTCAGACGGTTTCACGAAGTTTAATCTAACCAAATCCTCCTTTTTCCCCCACTACAGGCCAGAGATGAGGTGATCACAGTGCTGAAGGCAGAGAAAATCGACTTGGCTCTGCTGGAGGCCAAATATGGCTTCGTCACACCACCGAAAGTCCTCCAGGCCCTGCAGAGGGACGCCATCCAGGGCAAGGCTGAGGTCTTCCAGGAGGACATCTATGAGAAGCCCATGGAAGAGGTAACACTCATCATAATTAAAGATAAAAATGTGACTCAATAACTTTGTGTGACAAACACAGAGCAGTCCAGATGTGACAGATGTTTTGTATGTGGCCCCCTCCCACAGTTGGACAAGTTAGTGGAGAAGCAGAGGGAGACGCATCGGCGGATGCTAGAGCAGCTGCTGATGGTAGAACAGTCGCACAAACAGGCCCTTTTCAAGCTGGAGGATGAAAAGAGGAACCACGGAGAGTTCATGAAGAAGAGTGACGAGTTCACCAACCTGCTGGAGCAGGAGCGCGAGAGGTCAGTGTATAAAAAATTGATGCCAGTCTTCCAACAAACGTAATCACAATCACTGCTTCAGCAATGTAGTGTAAATGTATCTATGCTGCTGTCCTAGGATAATTTTTTATGAAATATGATCTGAAAGCAATTACAGAAAATCTAATTGGGGATCCAGGGGGAAGTTTTGGTGTCACACTCACTCTCTAACGTTTGATATCTGATTTAAATGCTAATTTTGAATACCCCCCAACTACATTAAAACAAATTGCCTGTGCAAGCCTGCTGTTGCTTAGGAGTCCATGAGCTTTAGAAAATAGGGTGACGATTTGATTTTTTTATTCTTGTTTTTCAAAAGAGATTCATCCTCCTGAATTGAACCCTAGCATCCCCTGTGTTTGATTTCAATTGAAAAGGCGTTGGTTTGTTCTCAAATTCAAAAGTAAATGGAAAATATGTGAGTAGATTTTAACTGCTATAAACAAGCAAGGGTCACTTTTATTGTATTATGGGGTGAGACTAGACATACAACAATTATACAATGCTGAAGAACTACCACAGGTCCTCGTGTGACGGGCTATAAATAAAAGGTAAAAACCCCTGGTATAAATCAACCATGACGATGCACTGCATGTTCTATTAAGATCCAACAGAAGGCGGAACAAAAAAAGTACTCGACTGTCAAGAGACAACACCTTGCACAAATTTAGCCCCTAAGTGCAGCATCTAACTGAAGCCAAAATTTTGAGTGTTCACCTTTCTAAATTTAGCAGTAGCTGTCATCTGTAATTACCTCACAGTCCCTAAAGTACGAGTGTCTTTACAAGTCAATGTCAGCATGTTCTTTAGAGTTATAGGGACTCTTGAGTCATTTCAGAAAACAGAAGAAGTAAGAGTGATGAAAATCTGGTATTTTCCCATGACCTAGAGATGGAAGACAAGGATATTGGCCATTGAATAATCTTTAGAGTCGAGTACCTTGCTCAAAAGTTTGTCAGCTAGTAAAAGAGTTTTCCAGCTCCAGTCACTCAGCACCAGCTCCAGTCACTCAGCACCAGCTCCAGTCACTCAGCACCAGCTCCAGTCACTCAGCACTGCCAAAGTATAAATGTCTTAATAATCCTATGTAATATTTGCATTAAATCAAAGTGTTCTCTGGATTACAGGGGAAAAACCAGACTAAAGAATTCCATTGTTGTTTTTCCCATGACCTGTAGTAAATCCTTTACTTTTATTATCACCTTTTATTGAACAACTCTGCATAAACCTAGAGCAAACCAAGAGTTTTTACTGGAGATGATCCAGCGACAGAGAGGGAGGCAGGAGTTTGTCGACAGATAATTTAGGTTTGAGCTTAAATACACAAATAAGCTTTACATTTACAGCTCAGCTTTATGGTTGCACTGTGGCTATTTGTGAACCAGTGTGAAAAACCATATACTTGGATAAATTTCCTGCAGTTGAGTCTGCATTTCAGTGAAGCTCAGATGCAGAAGCTCTGAAGGAGGGACATTTGAAGAGCAGATGCTGCGGTTTCATAATGTGCTATGATGTGGTAATTCTCTAAACTGTCCAATATCAGAGCAAAATATTAGAGTTTGGAATTTTGCTTGCCTTCTTTTCAATCCTCTGCCCTGTAATATGACCACAAACAGATTTTTAGCCATGCTAGCAGCATGTTGGATTGCCATGAAATTTTGTACATTCATGATCCCCAGAGAATGGAGCCTAACAACTTTGGTGATCCCCTGACCACCAACAAAGTTTCAGTTTGTCTAAAATATCTTTTCTTTATTTGTCATGTAGTTTTCCATCTTACTGACATTTTCATACATGAATATAAAGTATTTCCAAAACTTTGTACAAATAACTTAGAAGAAAGGCTAAGCATACAGCTTGCAAAAAATGAACACTGTAACGGCCTACTTGATTACTATAAGCAAATTATTTGCACAGCATTTGTATAGGAATGATTCTGTTCAAAGCTTTTTGATCCACATAAGCGGTTGATCACTGTAACCGTGATCACTAATAGTGGTCTCCACTGTACCTGCAAACCTACTGACACTCCCATCTGCCTCAGTTGTACTTTGTGCTTGGTGCTAATTAGTAAGTGTTAGCATGCTGAAATTCTAAACTTAGATGGTGAACATGGTAAATATTATACCTGCTAAACATCACTGCTGTTAGCTTTGTCATTGTGAGTATGTTAGCATGCTGAAGCACAAGCATGTCTGTAGACTTTTAACACTATGACAGGAATCCTGGTAACACTCCATCAAGTGCTATAAAATATAATGTAAGCATGTTGTGTCTCTTTCAGTAGCTGTAATTTCATCTGTGTGATGTAGGGAGGCATTGCGCTGTAGCTGTGTTAAATATCCAACCTTACACTGGATTACGAGACATTACAATTATTTTAGATGCTGTACATGCATGCTGCAGAAGTCTTAACCTCTCCGATGGTGAACCTATGATGCATAACATACTGTAATGTGAGATAAGTCTGGGATTAATTATTTGGAAGTGCTGTTTAACATTCCCAGCAAGACAGAGACTGCTGGAGGCCTAAAGGTGGAAACATGTCTGACTGATTTCTTCTGTAAATGTCACACAGAGAGCAGTTACTCGGCAGTGCTCTGTTTACTGCTTCCTCAGCAATATCACATATCTCTCTCTCACACACACACACACACACACACACACACACACACACACACACACACAATAACCCAACAGCTATCAGACAGACTCATGCCCATAAAAATTCACACACATGCACCCTTAGCAATTAATTTCACAAAGGAAACACAGCTGGACGCCGGCCTGTGACCTATTTGGGACAATCACATCATTGCACTTTAGCTGTAGCAGAATGTTTGAGTTGGATCGAAGTATGGTGTGACGATGGTCTGCGCTTTGTCACTGTGCATGTCAGGAAGAACAGGCTGCCATGAAAAATAGGCCTCTATCCAGGGTTGAGCTAATTATGGTGTGAGAAAAGGGGAAAGATTTATATGACTGAGAGAACAAAAAAAAGGTGAAAAAAGAAAAATGTACCTAATGTCTCTGAGAAGCATCAATCATACTGCGTGTTCAACAAGATGCCAGAAAATAGTTGATGAGGGTGTATTTTTTCGGTCTTGGGTTTGCCAGCAGAGTGTACATACATAGGAGCAAATATAAATGTATGTAGGGGTGTTCAGCTTCTGCCGTTGCCATCTGTCTTCAGTGGTTGGACGCAGCGTTGTAGCAGAGGACTCTGTTACAGCTGTAGATGCGAGTGTGTGTGTGATGTGTAAAGTTTTTAGGTAAATGTGTGTGTTCAGAGGTGTCCTCTTACCATCTCTCATTCCCTCCCTGAGTGGTTAGACAATCCTCATCCTGGAACATTAGATTTGTCAGTGCCACCACACAGATAATTATGAGTTATACTATATAGTACTGCTATAAGTATATGCACATAAGTCAGAGTACATGTTTAGGTTCGGCTCCTTTTAGGTTCATAAATAACGGGCCAAGCACCATTCGTACCTTAAACTGAACAGCAGGTGTCATGCATGGTTGCAAAAAGTGCTGTAAAGGCAGGTTAACTGTGCAGTTTATTATAACTTGGGTCTTTTTTTTTTTTTTTGCAGTTTTGGCCGTCATTTCTATTGATTATGATAACGCTCTAATCTCAACAAGCAAGACTGTTAGCCACGCATATTTAGAAGAGAAAACAAAGGTATAAACTTAAACTCTCTATAAAGCTTTGGCAGTATTGTTGTTTTACATTTATGCCAATAAAGCTAGATTGAATTACTAATTGAATTACAAAGGTAAACGATAAAATTATTAATTAAAAAAAATAAATCCATTACAGTTGACGGAGCCCCTGGTTAAACTTTGACCCACTGTAATTACATCATTGCATTATTTTTGAAATAAGTGTTTAATATAAGGTGCCCTCACTTTTCATTTAGACAGTCTGTTATCAACTGTCCAAAACCAACAACTGATAAGTTTATCCAACTTCTTTCTGTGGGTAGGCTCCAAATGGCAAAGAAAAACTATGTACATTTTACTCAAAACATTCATTTCTTCATATTTACCGTACAGGCATGAGCGTGGTATCAAGCTTCTCATCTAACTCTGCAACAAAGCGAAAATGCATAATTCACATAATGTTGTGAATAACTATTTCTTTATGTGTTAGCAATTTTTCCTTGTCCCCAGGTCTCAATGGACATCTTTGGGGAGTAATGTTATCATAATTGATTGAACTGATGTCCAACATAATAAAATCAGTTGAAATAAACCAGAATTATCTTACAGCAGTCAATAAATGCTGGTCACAAAAACGTCTTAACAGGAAGATATATATCTGTCATGTAACAGTCCAATGATCCTCTAAAGATGTAGTGGTAGACATGTCATCAAGACTATCTCAAGCAGGAAGAAACCGAGAGTCCTGGAGGCGCTTGAGTAAACGACATTTTAGTCCTTCGCCCGAGCACAAAACCCAGAGTTTGTTCAGCGGCTTCTGTTCTGCTCTGCACTCCTTCCAAAACATTATTACAGTGGGCTAGAAAAACGGTAGACCCCCAAATAGCTTTGATTTCTAAAAGTAAAAGCCACTTATCATTTGTTTGAGCAGAGCTGAAACAGCTCTCTGTGTTTTGAGACCGGCTGCCACAGCTCGACATGTACACTACGAGAGGCACCCCGTCGCACTGGGCTTTAATTTCACTCTTGTTAATCTGTTGTTGTATGATGCATTTTAGCTGGATGTAATCATTTCCTTTTACTTGGCCCTGGAAAGCAGCAAGTTGTGATTACATCCTGGGGTTCATGGGTAGCAGGATTTTGGAATGGACAAAACCATTTTCCCTCCTTATAAGCACACACACTCGCACTGCACATTTATAAACTCCTTATCTCCGGCTGCCTTTTTTATTTTGACCTTTTGTCATAGCAGGATGCCTCTGACTGCCAACTGACCTACTCCCTGGAAGCCCTAAAAAGAATGTTAATGTGGGCAGGGGGTTGGGGATGAACTCGGTTCCCCTCCGATTAATTGGCGATCAAGCAGCCGGGTACTGCAGGGGTGTGAGAGCAAGAGCGGCATCCTAACCATCAACAGATGTTACTTTAAACATGACTTCAGCGCA